TCACGTTCAGAGAATCTCACCAGTTCACCTATGCCATCGCCATCTTGCCCCGTCTCCTGTCACTTGTTTTTTGCACTACGTTATCTACTAAACTGAAGAATATCTGATGAGTTTACACATATATTTCACTAGAAATTGTGGTCAACATGATGTCAGTCCTACCATGGTGCTCATTTGTTCATTATATTGTGTTCACTGTCTATATGAAGAAGTGGAACAGCTTTAAGAAAAAAGTTTTGTCACTACTAAGTCATTATTGAGAGGGTGACTTTGAAAATCAAGTTTAATCCTTTTATTAGAGTGCATTGCACATCCAAACAATGATAATGGCTGCCATTATGGAATCATTACCTACTGCAGGGTACTTGCCAAGCACTTTACCCAAGTTGGCTCCTTTAATAAAGGAGTATTGAAATGCATGAATAAGTCTAACTCATCATGCAAGGAATTGAAATGAGCATGGTTCTGACTAGAAAGAAGATGTCCTCATGTATTAAAAACCTTCTTCTTTGAATAAGGTATATTGAACAATAATTCCAGTAACTTTGCTTTTACTTTTCATGAAGAAACAATTTTGAGAAAAATAGAATTGGTCTCCAAGTAGAAGTGGCAGTATATTTATGGCAATTGAGAGACTCAGTCTTTTTGACTGGAGATCTCGATATGGCAAATTAATGGATGTTGACTCAGGTTTTTTAATACCTTTTGAGATATAACGGAAGTGTACACAAATTTTCACAAAGTGAACACCAGCACCATCCAAATCAAGAAACAAAATACTGTATTGCAAAACACCCAGCAGCGCCCTCTAGCCCCGTCTAGTCATCAGTCCCCTAAAAGTAATCAGTGCCGTTTTCTAACACCTTAGTTCAGTTTTGCCTATTTTTGAACTGATGTTCTTTTTAACTTTAATTTCATCAGTTCTGATGATTTGATAAAAGATGGCAATTTGAAATGGAGCACTTTTTAGATAATGTTTGGATAATTTTTAACAGAATCTACCTCATCATAATGTAATTTTTAAATGTATTCTTAATGTCACTGTGAAATTTAAATAAGCTTTAATTTTTGTTTTCCTTCTCAATTTGAAAAAGGCTTTGGTGATATTCGGTAAGGGCTCCAAAGACATTTTGTGGCCAAAAAAAGGGATCAAGATACATAAGCTCCTTTTCACATAGAGCAGGAGACATGATGTGGCTTCTCTGGTAGACAGATCACAAAGGCACCCAGACAGGAGTAGTGGGTATTCCCTGGCTGAATTGAACAGCGCATGCTGATAAGACCAGATGAAGTTAGACCAAAATATTAAAAATGTATTTTCATCTTAAACGTTCATTGTTCTTCTTTCTCCAGGAAGAATAATCCACTCTCCTGGACTATTGTTGCTGGGGACCATGACAGAACCCTGAAGGAATCAACTGAGCAGGTGAGAAATGTCTTTAAAGGTCATTCCGCCTGCATTCCAAATGCCAGGGACTACCCTTAGCTAAAATGTGTAATTAGCTATCAATCTTCTAGTGTCCTTTTACACTTAGCCTTTATACCCACATTTTAAGATGCAATTCAAGATCACATTTCAATTTGAGAATTTAGTGAAGTTGGGTAAGAGGTGCAAACTCAGGTCCAAGTGCACAGGTCCACGTAGTTTTGTTTCTCTAAGACCACCAATTTGCAGGAGGTAGTTCACAGCCTCCTGCAAATTATAAACTGACTATGGAGCACAATGTTCACTCTCTGGGGAATGGGCTGCCTAAGACTCAATCCCTACCACTACACAATATGTACATATAATGAATATGTATATGTACCTCCTGAATCTAAAATTTAAAAAATTATAAACTGCGATCACACTCTTAAATTCAATACAAAGTCTCCTTCATTGCTGATGTATGCAAATACAGAGGTTTAAATATTATTTTGGACCATTATGCAAAGAAGTAGCTTGATTCTTTGACTCTCATCTTGTAATTTCACTTGCCTGCCACTGATACAGGTGAGAAGGGCCAAACGCATAATAGTGCATGAAGACTTTAATACACTAAGCTATGACTCTGACATCGCCTTAATACAGCTGAACTCTCCTCTGGAGTACAACTCAGTGGTGAGGCCGGTGTGCCTCCCACACAGCATGGAGCCTCTGTTTTCCTCGGAGATCTGTGCTGTGACCGGATGGGGAAGCACCAGTGAAGGTAACATTTTACTTTCACATAAACATCACTGCTGGTTGTTATTTTTTAAAAATAGGACTTGTAAATGATATCAAGCTGAATGTTCTTTGGGCCTTCTTCTTTCTAAAATACAGAAATTATGTTTTATTTAGCTATAATAGATCGGCAAGTGAATAGACAATGATCTGTTTTAAATTCCTCCTTCAAGATAACTTAGATTATAAACAGACGAAATTAGGAGTCAGGTTTTTCTGTAAAGGACCAGGTAGTAAGTCTTTGAGGCTTTGTAGGCCATATGGTCTCTTTTGCAACTACTCAAGTCTACCATTGTAGTGAAGAGCAGCCATAGACAATGTGGAATGGAGTGGGTATATCTGTGTTCCAGTAGAACTTTATTTATAAAATTTAAATTTCAAATAATAGTCATGTCATGAATTAATTTTCTTTGAATTTTTTTCAACCATCTACAGATGTACGAACCATTCTTATTTCATGGATTATACAGAATAGGCCTGTGCTTGCAGGGTGGCACAGAATAGACCCACTGGTTATAGTTTGCTAGCCCCTGGCTAGATTATAGAGTTCTTAAAGGCATAGTAGTAAAATTCTGAAAGATCAGAATGGGTGGATATTTGTTTTCTGATTCTTTCACTGTATAAGAGCATTTTCTTTGTATATTTTCCTTCTGTGTGTCATTTACTTGGAATTTGTGAGCTTGAAGAAGGGAATTTCTCTTTGCTTACAATGTTTGTGTTCACAGCTTACTGTGCTACCTGCAGCCAAATTGGATTTTAATAAAATCTTCATACCGACCACATGAGAAGCTTTTATCATCTCCATTTTACAAATGAGGAGGTTGCAGTCCAAAGATTTAAGTAACTTACTAAGATCCCATGACTAGTAAATATCAAAGCTAGGATTTACGATCACCATGGTTCAGATTATAATCATTCCTTAATGATTTCTCATTACACTTAGAATCAAATCTGAACTCCTTAGCCTAGCTTGGAAAGCTTTTGGTGACTGGGACTCCACGTACCTCTCCAACACCATTTCTTTCTTTTACTTTGTTAATTTTCAGGTACTGTGGCTTGCTTGCTTTCTCTTAACCACCAAGCTTGCTCTGCTTTCTGTAGTTCTCAATTTTGTGTGGTCCTACTTAGAACACTCTTATTACAATCTGCTCTTAGTTGCCTCCTCATCATTCCGTTCTCTACTGAAATGTTATTTCCTTTCTCAGACCACATTGCTGCAGTAGGACTGCCCTTCCATCACATTCCCCCCTACCCAGTTTTATCATCTTACTACACTTAAATGTAGTTGGCATGATTTTATGTAATCATTTTCTTCATCTCACCTATTAGAATGGGAACCTCTTAGAGGCAGACCTGTCATTTGCAACTCTCTCCCCAGGGCCAGAAGTGTACACAGCATAGCATAATCATTCAGTAAACATGTGTTGACTTACTGGTTTCAAAGCCCTTGAATAAACGTGCCTTCTCTCTAACACCTTCAACCTTCACCAATTCCATGACCACCAGACTACTAAGAGAGAGTTAAAAGTCTTATAAATTATGAATTTACTGTTTCTAGCTAGGAGAGAAAATGAATTCTTGATTTTGAGACATGGGCACCCACACTGATGGAGATGCTCTCTGGAAAGAGGATTTTTAATATACAAACCAAATGCAAGATTTAGAGTTGGTCCTAGGCTTAAGTCCTTGTTCTGTCCCGTGAGCACTATGAAATTAAATTTTCAGAGGTCTGGCTTTCTCATGTGTGAGACCAGTGGGATTAACCTCTCTCACAATGTTATTGTATTATTAGGTTAGAATAAAGGACTTTGTAAATATTAAGATACTATATAAATGGAAAGTAATTTTTATTAATGTTATCCCCAAAAGGTATAGGGCTATAAAATACTAAACTTTTTAAAACTTAGCCATAGATCTAAAATGATAGAATAAATCATGCAGAAAACACATGAACATAGACCTGCCTGAGGGTGAAACAAGAGAAGAAACTTTTTCGTGTTTTCTTAAATGGGATGTGAGATTAGACTTCATTGATAGTAGAGGGAAAGGAATATATGATTTTTATTTATATTAGGAAATCATATAAGCATATATTGTCACATATAATTATATATTTATATAATACATGCATAAACATACAACCATCTATGTGTATAATCATATAAATCATATATAACACCAATTCATAGCTTACTGAATTTTTCTTAATTCTTATGCAGCAAGAACTGAGACACTAAAATTTAAATTAGAAATTAGCTAGAAAAAAAGTGTTTCTGGTCTTGGTCTATTGCCAATGGCCTCTCTTTACAAAGATGCCAAATTTGGAAAGGAAGACATAGTGCATGAAACACATGTTTTTTTTTTAAAAAATGCAGTATTCCACATCAGCTCAGGCCAGAGAGAATGACTGTGATTAGGTTGGTACAGAGCAAATATGAGCTTAAATATATTTCTTTAACATCACTTGTTGCTTACTTCATCATCGACTCTCCCTTTCTGTATCTGTTTCTTAATTAGGTGGCAGCCTAGCAAGCCGCTTACAGCAGATTCAAGTGCCTATATTAGAAAGAGAATCCTGTGAACGCAATTACTATTCTGCTCACCCAGGAGGCATCACAGAGAAGATGATCTGTGCTGGCTTTGCAGCGTCTGGAGACAAAAATTTCTGTCAGGTGAGAAGATTCTGATTTTGTATAGAAAGGTAGAAAATTACCCTTTGCTGGAGAGTCTTCTTAGACTGGAGGAAACTTGGCCTGTGTTTTAAACATCATACCACATCCCCACCATCCCCACATGAAGGTCAGTAGAGCATCAGGAAGAGTAAGTTACTCAGTGTAAGCATGCTGAAGTGGCAAAGAGCTCCCGAAAGCAATGTCCAGCCAGAAAGGCCAGTGGGTACAGAAGATCCCACAAGAAGGTAGGAGATAGCAGTACCACTAACCAGGCCCAAGGGTGGGAAGATGTGTGCAAAGCATTTAAGGCTTTGGGAATAGGAAAATGAACAAATAAATGTACTAAAGTTATGTCTTCTACTTATAAAAATTGTATTGTTTTAAATTATGACTAATCTCCTGTGTCCTCTCACTTAATTTCCTATCACAGATTAAAATAACCACAAAGATGTCAGTTAGACAAGCTTGATATTATCACATTCAGAATCAACTAAGAAAAAGAAAATATAGATGAATGGATTGGAAAATACCAGTTTTAATATTCACAGAGTCAACTGAAGAATGTGACTTTAGACATACTACCTAAAGAGTTTCCAGTGCTCTGTCTGCCCATCTCCAATCTCTAGTCTGAATTTGGGGCAGCCCACCTAAGGGAAAGTTTGGGCCTATAGGACAGACACACTTCTCCAGACTTATTAATCGTATCTGTCTGGCTAGAGAGATAAGAAAGAATGAATGTTCTGTCTTTGCAGACATTGATAGTTTTCCCCATGACTCAGTCAAGAAACGTGAGCCAATGAATATCATCTCCATGGGGAGAAGAAACTGGGCATTAATCTAGATGGAAGTCATTCCATTTGAAAACATGAGGAGAGAAGAAACACTGAATATAAATTTATTGTAGTTCATGGTGTCAAGTACTACTTTAGTTCTGTTTTAATGTTGCATATCTTAATTTGCACTCTCCAGAAGCAGACCTTGAGATAAGGATTCACATGTAATGGTCTTTTAGGAAGTGTGGGTATCACCGATAGAAAAGTGAGGCAATGGTGCAGGGAAGGGAAGGCCCGCAATCTAGGATGTGCTAACGAGACAGATAGCACAGTGAGGACGGAAGTTTAATCCTGCAGGAAGCAGTGATGCAAAATATGGTATAATTATCCAACTGGGGTGTGAGGGAACTGAGGTATTTATATACTACTTCCCAAAAGCTATGGTTTGAGGGCTCCTGTGGGATGGGGCTACTGATTTCTCAGCATTTTTCACACTTTTGGGTTTTCTCATGAGTGGGTGTAGAGAATGGGGAAGACCCTCAGGCACAGAGTTGGGATATGCGCTGGAAGAGCTGAGGACTATGGGAAGGGTGCTCCTCCATCTGCTAGAGCTACATAAATTTCATCTTAAAAAATCAGAAGAGTACCCTGAATTGGTGTGTTCATTCTTCCCCTTGTCTATTGTAGAATTTGAAGGATGTTTTTTCTTTCTTTTTTTAATTAAGGAAATCACAAGTGGGTCTGTCATTTGTCATGTATGACAGTATCTAATATTACAGAATGAGTTTATTTTGTGTCAAGAGAAAACAAACAAACAAAAACCTAGAGAGGAGGTTAGAAAGGTCCATGTCACAGGTGACCCAAATATCATTATCTAATTTGGCACTTACTATTTCAGCTATATACAACTGTCACTTTGGTCACAAATTGACCAAATTTACTGCCAATATTTGAGAAGAAAAGGAGGAGTTGAAATTCTAATAAATGTGGTTAGCTCTCTTTTTACCAAGAACACTGAAGTACTGAAAGGGTGACTCTAGAAACTTACTTTGATAAAATGGATTCTAATATTTCTATCAGTTAATTGATTTTTATTCTCCTGTGTATGCTCAGAGGAATGGGACTTGCTAATGTAATTTCTCATCTAGGAAGGTAAAAATAACAGTGTTGGAATGTGGAGATGAGGGTTTCAGACATGCGATGTAGACTCCTACTGTTCTTTGCTCACTGGATTTTAGATTTTTTTATTCCAAGTTCTTTTGACCTACAAAGTGATAAATTTCTATCTTCAGAAAGATGTATGTCCTATCCTGTTAACTTTTTCAATGTATGTCATACTTTTCTCCTCCCTGTTCACGATATCTCAGCCCCACAGATTGCCTTCTAACCTCCCAACTCACCACATCTTGCCTGTCTTATGGTCTTAGCCCAGATATATCTTCTGCATAAAATGCAAGTTTTTGAAAATCTGGCTCCTTCTCATCCTTCATGTATCAGCTCCAATGTCATTTAAATTACATACACATATATGTACATGTAAGCGCACATGTACCTAACTTTACTCTCTACCATTCACTCTATATTTCCTTTATAGCTACTCTCACCATCCAATTTGTTTATACTCTGTCTTGTTCAGCATGCCTGGCTCACAGTAGACACTGAATAATTTTTAAAATAAAACATTCTATTTGTTTTTTAATGTTTACCATGTGCTAGACCCTGTGATAGGCACTGGCAATTAAAGATAAATTAGACATGTTCCTTATATCAGGGTAGCAAAATAATAAATAACTTAAAATAAAACAAAACATCTGACTGGACACAGCAGGCCATTTTCAAACTACAAGGGAGTCTTAAATATAACCTTTAAGTGAAAAAAATTAAGCCCAGGGAAAGTGTTAATTGTTCCAGATTACAGACTAGGGGCTCTTTATTCCTAATTTAGGGTTCCTTCTGTGAAATTCTTCATATAAAATAAATATCTCAAATATGTATTATCAGCTCAATTTATTTTATATGAAAACAAATAAAGGACTTAGTTTAGTCCTAAATACATTTGTGATTTGAGCCCACCCCTTCCTGCAAAAGACTTGATTGAAAATTGGAAGGACTACCTTTAAAAAAATCCTATATTTTAAAACTTATTAAGATAATCTAATGTAGAGCATTCTATCATAAATAAAGCCCCTATTAAGTATCTATTATGTATTGTACTAGGTCCCCTAGGATACAAAGATGAATAAGTTGCAATGCCTACCTTAATTGCATGTGGAGCATGTGATACAAACAGAAATATACACAAACAAATACATAAACAGAAACACACATAAACAAGTACATATGATGGTGTCACCATTGACTGTCATGTTAAACCTGAAGAGACACATATAAGATGTCAGTGTTAATTCATAGATATATACATGTGACATACATATTTTGGTGCTTTTGATGATGTTTCTTTTCTTCAAAATCTCTCTTCCTACTTATAATTTGTTAATTTAAACAAAGTAACTATTTTGAGCAGTATTGATGAGAGAACCTTCCATCTATATGAACTTCTTGATGCTGTTGGATAGTATTTCTGCCTTTTTGAAATACATACTCATTCTGACCATTAGCATATCTAAATCAGTAAAAAGAATAATAATAATTATGATTTAACATTTCCATGTGTCTTTCTTTGAATTCTGTAATTGTGTAAGCCAGATACTAGAGCTGTCTGAGGTTGCTCCATTGATGAACATTGATCACCTTGGTAGAGAGGAAAGAACACTGGTTTCTGGCAGGTTACATTCTACTGCTGCCATTACCTGTGTGTGTGAAATGGGACAGATCCCTTATTTGTCTAAGTGTAAGTTCTCACATCTAATATTCTAACAGGTCAAATTAGGCCCTTAAAGTCTCTGAAATTACTTCACTTTGGAATCTATAGGTAAGCTGAAATAATACATTTTAATAGATATTAGATAGCCTTTAACTTTTTCTTCACCAACACCCTCTTCTAGTTTTTCTGCATATGTCATAATTCTATGTTTTGATTGCTCTGAATAGATTGTGTCAGTCAAGATAACCAGTGTTAGGGAAAATAAATTTATGGAGGTTGCCACTCAATGATCCTAACTGAATTACCTTAAAGAGAGACATAGCCCATTTTGAGGGCTAATTCAGTTTGAGTCACTGTATAGTTTTCTAATTAAATTTTGATTTTTTAAAAAAGATGCAGCTTGAAATCTTAACTATTATATTTCACTAATTGGTGATATTATTTAAGGAAGGCACCCCTCAATGGAGCTGGGAAGACTTAATAATTATTTTCTTATTGTGTGAACTAAGCTTTATCTTGATCCTGAAATCAAAGTACCATCTGATTTTCCACATACTTAATTGTTTCCTTTTGCAGAAGAAGTCAATATACAGTTAAGTATCTAAGATATACAAATTGACCAAGACTAAAAAATTAAACACATGAATAAATTATTGATCATTTATGTTCTAAAAAATGAAAGCAGGAGCTCCAGGTTAAAGCAATCTTCTAGAACATGTTTTCTTTGTGTTTCAGGGAGACTCGGGTGGGCCATTAGTATGCAGACATGAAAATGGTCCCTTTGTCCTCTATGGCATTGTCAGCTGGGGAGCTGGCTGTGTCCAACCATGGAAGCCAGGTATATTTGCCAGGGTGAGGGTCTTCTTGGACTGGATCCAATCCAGAATCAAAGGTAAACAGTTTTCAGATATTATGAAAACAATGCCTCTTTCTTTAGAGTGGGTTTGGAAACAGTCAGTGTGGTACAAATAAGCATCGTGAAAGAGAAAAACATAGAGTGAAATTTTATTTCAAAACACATTAAAGTGCAAGGTTCTGTAAGAGTACGTTCTCTTACAGGCAGAGTTAAGAGTAAAAATGACTTTTTTTGAGACTACTTTAATCCTGAATTTACATTTTCTTTTGACAGTGATGCTTTGATACAGACTACATTGGTCCTCAGGCCTCTCATCTTTATTTTTAATACATTCTCCTCAAATGCAGGTCCTGTTTCATTTCAGACAAATAATAAAAGAGAAACCTTAAAACAACAGTTGCCACCACCCACACCTTCACCAGATGGTGCATCTGGGCCAGGTAATAAATGTTCACATTGTCCCATTAATACATCCAACAAGAACAAAAAAAGCATTGTATATCTGGGTTCACCAATTTTCTTTGGAACACTCTAAACTCTGTATTTTCCTTTTGGATGGCAGTTTATGCTGAAAGCAAGGAGGGTTGCTATTTTTTATGATTGCTGGGAATCTTTTCTGCCCCACAGGTATAGCTGTTACAGGTTAAAAAAAAAAAACCTTGTGATTGTGAATAAAACTATTTAAAACTCTGGGCAATTTTTTTCTACCTGAACAAAGTCCTATAGCATTCAAATGTCTTTCTGGGTAAAGATTCTGGGTCTAAGATGACCAAGACCAAAACAAGTATTAGTAGCTCTCTTAATTCTTCTACAATTGTTAGTGTCTGTTTGACGACAGGATTTTGGTTTTTAGTCAAAAGCTAACAGCAGCTGGATAATTAGAAGTCTGTAAGAGCCTTGTGGAAAGATGAAAGTTCTCTTATCCCAACACTCATGGGTTCCAAATGGCCAGAGTCTTTCCCTTGTCGCCCTCCTCTGCCCCACCCACCCCCACATACACTCAACCCCAGTGAACAACTAGGAAGAGTTGAAAGAAAAAGGAGATGCAAGACATGCAAGATAGAACTACTAGAGTGATGACCTTGAGTAGAAGAAAGGAGATGGGATCTAGCATTCAAGAGAAGGGGTTGGTCTTAGGAGCAAAGTACACTTCATCCATAGTTGTAGATGTAAGGTAGACTATTTAGGCATTAGTGCAGGGTAGGCAGGTATATGGGGATGGGAGCTTAGGGAATTTCTTTTCTGATTGCTTCTATTTTCTCAGCAGATGAAAGAAGAAGTTGTATAAGAAAGTGTGATTTTAAGAGAAAATAAAGTATGAAATATTTCTCTAGAAAAATGACATAGGGAATCGACTAGGCTTCCTAGGCACCATAAAGATCCCCTGAGATAAATGATCATGAATTTAGAGAAAGAGAATTCCCAGATAGCTTAATTGGAAGTTTTCCTTTGGAGACACTGAGGTAGAGGCAAAGCATGTAGACAGTGGGTTACATCAGAATGGAGTGTTCCCAAATATGTAAGGGCATAAGAGTTCAGAGTGCATGTGAAGAAGTGATTAAGAGGCTGAATCATTGTATTTCAGATAGGTAAGAAGAGAAGTAAGGATGAGAGATGAGTTAGGACAGGAAGGGTGGTAGGATAGGTGAACTACAAGTCTCCAAGCGTGAAAGGAGTGCTGGGGGGAGCTGATGAGATGGAAGTTGTGGTTGGAGGGAATGGTGCTTAAAAACGAGGTTTGGAATTATTGCTATTGATCAAGTCTCTAGGGACTGTTGGTATGAGTGGCAGAAGTGAGGTGAAGGACAAAATCATTGGAGGAAAGTTGAGGAATTGAGAAACTTCAGTATGGGAATCAACATCTATATGGCTATTGAAACCAACAAGAACTACAAGAATATTGTTGGGGAAAATGACCACTAAAATCTTCCAGGAATGAGGAGTCATCTGGTAACATGAGAGGCAGAGCTGAAGATGTGTAGATTTAAGTTAAAAATCAATCTGAAAATGGGTTGAGATGGATAACAGACTTGGGTCCAGGATCCTAAAAACTACTGATTTCAATGGTTTGAGTCAAATGAATGATTTCAGTGAATGTCTAAGTAAGTTAATACATGTAACACATTTAGAATACGTAGGGTCTGACCATGATAAGAGTCAAGAGGTGGTGGTGATAGTAGCCATCAAATGTATGATTTGGTTTTTCTTTTTTCATTTTGTTTTGCTTTGTTTTTTGAGTTGGAGTCTCACTCCATTGCCCTGGCTGGAGTGCAGTGGCATGATTTGTAGAAATGAGGTCACACTATGTTGCTCAGGCTGCTCTTGAACTCCTGGGCTCAAGAAATCCTCCCAGCTTTGGCCTCCCAAAGTGCTGGGATTACAGGTGTGAACCATTATGCCCAACCAATATATTATTTGAATGATCCTATTCAGACTGTTAGAAAATAAACATTATTAAAATGTAAAGAATACATTTCTCCTCTGCGTATGCTTAAAAAATGCACGTGCATGTCCAAGAACTTTGAGATGTTACATATGAAAGAATATCATTTGGTTTTAGTTCTATGATTATTTTATGAGAAAATATTAGTACAGTGTCATATTTAACACCCACTCACTCGCATCATTTGCTTTTAGAGAATTAATGCATCTTAGTCATGGATTTTTATTTATTTATTTTTTATTTATTTATTTATTTTTCTTTTCCTTTTTTCTTTTTTGAGACAGGCTCTCACTGCAGCTTCGAACTCCTAGACTCAAGCAATCCTTTCACTTCAGACTCCTGAGTAGTGTGACTACAGAGGCACACTTGGCTAATCATTTAAATTTTTTAAAGAGACAGGGTCTTGCTTATGTTGCCTAGGCTGGCCTCATACTCTTGAGCTGAAGCAATCCCCCTGCCTCAGCCTCTCAAAAAACTGGGATTGAAGGCATGAGCCACTGAGCTGGCCTTGGCAATAGATTTTTGAGATTATTAGCCCCCTTTATAAAGTGCTGTGACTTGTTGAGCATTCACGGCTCCATATTATTTTGTACCAAGCTGCATTTCAAGGCAGATTTGTTACAGAGGACTCACGTAGAAAAGGAGAAAGATTGAGAAGATTGGAAAGACATTTTGGGGACAGACTATGAAATGTCTTGCAATTGGTGCTACTTTAGTCACTTTGAGCAGGAAAAGAACTTAATTCTTTTGTTTCAGACACCATTTCAGAATGGAGGGCATGGTGAGGGACGATTATAGACCAAGAGATCATTTAGTCAGAAAAGACCTGGTAAATATCTGATTAGATCATAGTAACCATATAAAGAAAAAGGAGAATTGACAAAGAAGTAACAGAGGATGAAGCAATGGATAGAATCCTGAATTCTCACAGCACTTCATTTCCCTTATGCCACTTTTCATCTCTATTCTTCCCAAAAGTATGTTTACATGCCTGTCTCCTCAGAGTGTTCATTTCTCTAGGGCAAAGCACGCATGATAATGTATGTGTTCATTAGTACCTATATTAAAATATGGATACATTACAGAATGTTTCACTTTGTAATTGCTCAGAAAATTCTTCTCAAAGGAATAGGTATGGGGAAGAGTCAGGGATGAAGCCTGAATGAGCATATTAGAAGGAGCTGCTGATTGCAAAGTCAGTGAGCCAGAGAGCTGCTGGCATCTAATAGCAGCAGGGTTACCCACAGGTCAAGGTGACCTTGGACTTAGCAAGCTGAAGAAGTGAGAGACACCCCACTATATTCAGCAAATTCTTTTTTTCTTGACCTCAGTCTCAAGCTCTATGCATGTAATCATTTGTCCCAGCAAGATAAATGCTCAGCTAATTTAACTACACTTTGAGAGACAGGTCTTCAGTTGCATATCAGAGAAGAAGTGAAAACCTGTTGGGAATAGAGAATGCAATGCTCTGTGAACTTTCTAAGAAATTTAAAAAATCAACTTAAGGTTCATTTTAGATCATTATGATTTAAATTCTATCCTACAATCTCATTTCAAGAAAATAGGAGACATTAAATGGAATTTTTTTTAGCACAAGAACTTGTAACTGAGAGTAATAAAGTCTTAATTTTCCTCTTGCAAGCCTAGGTTTTTCAAGCTTGTGATAGAACCTTGTTCTTCTTGACCTTGTTTATATTGATCTCTTGTGTCTGTGTGTTTTGAATTGTAGGCTGTTGCTCTGAAGTGATGCTAGAAGAATCCAGAGAATTTTCTTCAACTCCAAGATACCCACTGGATTATAGGGGAAAACTGGAATGTTCTTGGGTGCTTAGAGTTTCACCACGCAGTATGGCAAAACTGACCATGGAGTATCTGTCACTCCCTGTGTCTCATGTGTGTCAAAACTTAGTCCTGACTATTTATGAAGAAGGCCACCGTGAGAGAAAGGTGTCAGGTATTCCTTCCTGGTATTGGAACTTTGTGCTAGGAGCTTTTTCTGTGTAGGCAACTGATAAATAAGAGTGAGTTTGACTTGGTAATAATGCCACCAAAATGTTGATTCATGTAATGGGCATGTCTTTTGCCCCCACCAAATACTCTTAATATTTTTATGTTTTGAATTTACAAAGCAGATATACTGAAGGTTGAGCGTGTGTGTGTGTGTGTGTGTGTGTGTGTGTGTGAGAGAGAGAGAGAGAGAGAGAGAGAGAGAGAGAGAGAGATTAGGGAGGGAAGATAAAAAGACAAGAGGGCCCACCTTCTTCAAACACACTAGAACTGTGCCAGAATGCCAGAAAAGTATGTATGGTAGAAGAGGTCAGAAGATGGTTAAAACTAGAGTGGAGGCATGGATGGGGAGGGAGATAAGTGAAAAAGCAGGATACATTAAAGGCTTTTATAGTGACCAGATTTAAAAGATTTGTAAAAAATATGCCAACCCTCATTTTTCATTTCATGCACAGACAAACCTGTTTTTATTCAGCAAAACAAACTTGCCCCCACTTGACTGCATGGGTGGAAGGAAGACATTTTGGCTCTCAGTTAGGGAAGGAGGTAGGAAGGTGGGAGAAATAATTTGGTTAATGGGGAAACCTGGAAAGAAAATGAATTTTTGTATGTCCTTTCAAGTATGCATGCTCATGCTTGACAATGAGGTATATAGAGACCAGAAAGGCCCCAAGTTGCGACAAGCAGGTGACTGGTTCTTCTATCATGACCACGTACCTGTTCACACTGCACTGTGTTCAGCAGTTTTTGATTTAAAAAAAGGCTTGACCTCTATGCTTCACCCTTTCTATTCACCCGATCTTGCCCCGAGTGACTTTTTAATGTTTCCCTGGATGAAAAATGTTCTCAAAGGATAACATTTTGTTGATGTGGAAGAGGTGAAACAAAAAACGGCAGAAGCACTAAAAGTCATCAAAATTGACAAGTTCAAAAACTTTTGAGCAGTGGGAAAAGCATCTTGATAGGTGTACTGCATCAAACAGAGAGTACTCTGAAGGTGAACATGTAAGAATAAATATACAACTTGTTCTAAATAAATAAATCCCAGGGTTTTTAGGTTCCTTTTGTATAAATACAATCTCATTTAGATCCAAGAAAACCATTAACTAGCGTGTCTACTTGGCCCATTTTCTCTCTACAGTCAGATCATCTCCCCTATCCCTCTTGATTAAAACTGCTCTAGAGCTTCTCCTTGCAGCTAGAATAAAATTCAGACTTCCTGGAATACATTTGCCTCCCTCTCTGCCAGCTCACAGGCTTCCATACTTCTCATTCTCACCTCAGGGCCTTTGTCTGTCTACTCCCAGTATTTCAAAGAGCTCTTTCTCATCCTTGTCCTTCACCTCCCTCAGTTCTTGTCTAGGGTGTCACCTTCTGCATGAGACCTACTTTGACTGATGTAAGTTACATCAACCCAGCTTCCATACTTCTTTGTCCCCTTTTTGTTAAAACACTTGTCTTCTAATACATTATTATTTCTTTTTCATTATTGTGATTTGTTTGTGTCTTCTCTATCAAATGGGAGCCTACTGAGAACTGGAACTTTTGTCCCTTTGCTTTAAGATGCCCCAGGGACACATAGAAGGTACTTAAGAAATAAGTGAATGAGGGAATGGTCATCTCCTCAAAAAGAGCTTCTGGATTAAAGTAGCCTCATTCATTTCTTCCCACATTCCTTGTCTGTTACTCTGGCTTGATCTACCCGAAATCATCGTCACTTACCTGACTAAAAAAGCCTCATGAGAGCAAAGACCTTCCTATTTGTTTCTTCTCTATACTTCCAAATGAGGACAATGACTAGGGATGCTTATTATGTTATTTTTGCATGTATTTTTGCCAGGTTTTTTTTCCAGGAGGTTTTGCTCAATTACTCTTCAGAAAGGCTAACTCAGTTTTCACTGCCATTAGCAGTGCATAGGATTCTCTTTCACCATGCCCAGAACCTCCTAAGCTGTCAATTTGATAGGCAGTTATTTTTTTTTTTGAGACAAGGTCTCACTCTGTTGCCCAGGCTGGAGTGCAGTGGCATGATCCCAGCTCACCACAGCCTTGACCTCCTGGGCTCAGACAGTCCTTCTGCCTCAGCTTCCCAAGTAGCTGGAACCACAGGCATACACCACCATGCCCAGCTAATTTTTTGATTTTTTGTAGAGACGTGGTCTTGCTATGTTACTCAGGTTGGGGCTGTTTAACTTTTTTAAAGTCATTAATGGGAATAAATATTTGGGGACTTTTTATTGTTGTTTTGAAATAGCATCTTGCTATGTTGCCCAAGCTGGCCTTGAATTCCTAGGCTCAAGAGAACCTCCCACCTCAGCCTCTTGTAAAGGTCTCAGGATCCTCAAACTCCTTACACCAAAGGGCGGGTTAAGCCTAGAGGTTGAATCATGCAACACCTCTTCCAAATGAATCACTGTATGCATTAACCAGATCCCGGCCAAGGAGAGGTAAAAGACCTCAGGCATCCAGGAAAGACTGCCCCCACAAATCATTCATAAGTACATTCTTTGCTGGCCTCGCATAAACAAGGACCTGCCAGTGCTAACTTCAGGTCTACAATCTAAGTCTAACTCCTGAGACTAAAGTCTGTTTGATTCCACACTGTGAATGTTCATTACCAGCTCATCTTCCCAGGTGCAAAGACAAGACTCATTCTTCTACCTATCCAGAGATGTCTGCATAATTAATTCTTCCTTTTTCTTCAAACTTTCACCTTATCTTATATAAAAATGTAGATTTGCTGGTGTCTAACTAAAGTCTCACAGGAATGTAACCACTTACCTGTTCCTCTTCCTACATGCCTTCCCCACTTTGAGAAAATATATAAAATACTGAACCTCCTGGGGGTGGGGAGGGGGGAACTCTTTAGAAAAGCAGTCAGAGATGTGTCTGTGGTTCATGCTTTTTTTCTAGATATGCCCTAGCACTGGCTTAATAAACCTTAATTGATTGAGACTTTTGCCTCAGTCAATTATTTTAGTTATCACTCCTGAGTAGCTGGGACTACAGGTGCCTGCCACCACACCTGGCACATATATTATTTTAATTCGTGACCATTACCTTTTGTTTATTTTAAAAATGTGAGTATTCTTTTTTATTGGTATATAAGAGCATCATATATAACCATATTTTTCCTTTATCATTAAGTGCTTATTCTTAATGTTGTCATTTGCCTTTAAGTTTTGCTTATTACATGTTAATGTAAAAATTCCAATTTATTTGCTTAAGTCTATCCAGATGAGTCCTTGGTCTTTGATTTATCTCATTGCTTTTATGCTTAAGCATTTATACCCCATTCTGAGTTCAGAAAAAAAATTTATTGAAAAATAACTTACCTCTTTAATCCTGCTGAAATATACTTTCTCATATGGTAAAGTGATGCTGCACTTTCTTTAAAGAAAGAAAGTTTATAGCACTATAACTTAAGAGATTTTGCTGAGGAAACTTGTCTTTATCTTTACTGCCTATTGAAAACCAGTCTTGACTTTATTGCAGATTAACCGAGGAATCCCTATAATTTTCCAACCTAGCATTTCTTTGATTTGAAATTGTCAGCTTGAACCTTGTGAAATTGTTCTGTCTCTTCAAATTATAGCTAGAAGAACTGTAAGACTGTAATGGAACTATTACCCCTTACTCAAGTTATATTGTACTCTTCTATACTATAAATTGCTATGTTTCACCCTGTGAAAGCTAGTCATTCATTTAAGAATTCATCCGTACTTGCGACAAGTAAATATTTGATCATTCTTCAAATAGTATTTCAACTTCATTTACCCTAATAGGCCAACTTATGCTTTTTCTTCCTGGCTACAGCACCTTCCCTCCCTACCTTTCTCTCTATAAGCACATACGTGTGTGCCAAGAACTAAGTTTTCTTGGTTCTGGAGATCCAGTAGTGAACAAAATAGTCAAAAATCTCTGCCCTTCTCAAGTTTATATTCTAGTAGGGAGAGGACACATTATAAGCTAAGACACATGATATCTTAGATGGAAGAGCTAAGTGGAAAAATGAAGTAGAAGGGAGAAAAGAAGTATCTGGGATGTCGGTGCCACATAGTTGTATGGGGTGTAATCAGCAAATGTCTTTCTGAGCAGGTACATTTAAATAAATGTTACAAAATGATACTGAATTATTCTTAATATAGATGAGTTTGAGTCTAAGAAACTCACACGTTCTTTTCCTACCTTTTCAAATGAGCTCATTGAATCATTTTAGAATTATGGTTATAGTTTTCTATCTTTGCCTTAGATTCTCAAAGTCGAGCAAATCAGTAGAAGATTGACTGTAGGGAAAGAATACAATTTCAGGTGGAAAGTTTTCTGTAATGAATCATCATGGTGAGATATTTTAATAAGTAAGTTACTTTTCTAGGAGAAAAATTGGCACATCAGCGTAATTTTAAAGATAAAATATCTTGCTACCTACTGTCCTTCAAGGAAGCACTGCAACTTTGATGGGTATTAGATTCATGGACTGAGGTGGAGACCCTGGTTCCCTACCCCACCAGTCTGTGACTTAATGAGATACTTGAGTTTTTTATTTTATTTTATTTTAAAGATGTGGGATGCAATTCAGGATTAGGTACATAAGTAGTCAACGTACAGGTGAAGTTTGGGCCTCACCAGGTTTAGGATCAGGTACCCTTATTGATGTCATGTGCCTCCACCTTCCCCCGGAATTGTCTCCCTACTGCCAATCCCTTTCTTGTAGTATTATGATAAATGTTCAGGAACCACTTATGAGTGAGAATATGTAATTAGTTCTTTGTTCCTGCGATAGATCACTGAGTATGATCAACCCTAAATCTATCCATATTTCTGCAAAGTCCATGGTTTTGTCCTTCTTTATGGTTGTGTAATATTCGATTGCGTATAGGTCCCACTTTTTTTTTATCCTGTTTACTTTCAATGGGCAGCATGGATGGTTCCATGTTTTTGCTATTGTGAATAGTGTTGCAATAAAGATCTAAAAATCAACTTTCCATATGACCCAGCAATCCCCCTTCTGTGAATATACCCAGAGGAACTCATACCACTCTACAAAAAAGCTACTTGAGTTTTGGAACCCATTTCCTTATTTTGGAACCCATCCTCCTCATCCTACCTTGTGGGTTAAGTTAATCCTCTGCCTAAAAATACAAACACTGCTTTAAAATGTGTGTGCTTGCCTTTTACTTGAGTTGATTTTTTTAATCAGGTGGATTATGTGGGAGAAGTCTTTCTCCAGTGATTTTCATAAGCCCTGGACCACTAATAAGGGTGACATTTCATTCCCTTGTGCAAGGTGCATTTGGCATGAACTATATTGTCTTCAAAGTCCAGGGTATGCTTGGTCATTTTATAAATTTATAAAGGTTAAAAATCAACATTAATTTTGTTAGTAATATTTCAAAACTGATACAGCATTTTGTAAGAATTATTTCTGTGGAGAATGAATTTATGTTTGAGATGAAAATCCATTTAGGTCATCTGAGATTTGATCAAGCCCAAGAGGGAAATTGCTCAATAGATAACTTGATTGACTTATAAATCATCAAGAATTATGATTTCTGAACATGGCTAACACTTAAAAAATTTTTTTTACTGTGGTTGTGATTTTATACCACAGACGGTCTTTTCTGCAGCTGCAAATCTTGTGGACTAGAAAATTTGAGTTCTAAATATTAGCTGACTGATTAGCTCTGGACAATGTATTATTTCAGTATCAGAATTTTATTTTTTGTTTGTTTTAATTTAGCATTTTAGTGAGTTTTTTCCTTTATTTCAATACCTTTAGGAGGTACAAATAGTTTTTGGTTACATGTTTTTATTGTAGTGTGGTAAGGAAGTCTGGACTTCAAGTGTATCTACCACCCTATCTGTGCACACTACCCAATAGGTGATTTTTCCTCTCTCTTTGTAGTAATATAATAACAAAATATTAGAATAAGTTTTGAAAACAAACTACACAAATATTATATTCTAGCATTATAAATATAAACTATGTAATTCATTCAGAGTTATCAGATTACACTTTAGAACACGTAATTAGTGAGGCTTTTTGATGCTTCATGTAGACAACTGAAAGCTAGTTTCCCTTCTTGGCACTGAAAAGCATTGGAGAGAATATGTTTTTCTAGACCTGCATACACTGCACATTTGGAAAAAAAAGTTAAGTAATAAAAGAAAGTACTCATATCATATGAAAGTTTTCTCTTGGGGAACTATGTTAATATGCTTTCAGATGTGATTGGGCAGTTAACAGGCACTATCTCTAGTTATTCCATAATCTTCCATAGACTCTAGACTATGTCAAAGATAATTCTAACAGATGTACTTATTTTTTGTACCTTTGAATATTTAGGATGGAGATGTTTTTCAGTGAATCCAACCACCTCCTGATAATTACTTTTTTTCTAAGACAATTACCAAGGAGAGCTGATTACCTTGATCTTAAAAGGCAAGCTTGTTAAAAGTTAGTTTTAGTCTCATTCTCTCTGCTTTCTTTTCTTCTAGGTCCGAAGGACAGTAAAATAACTATACCTCCCCAGAGGTCAACCCAAGAGCATGTGCTCACTTGTGAGGATGTTCTTCTGACCAAGCCAGCAGGAATCATTCACTTCCCAAGATATTCTCACAGAACCACTATGAGGTAAGGAAGAAATTTTTGTTATGCTTAGAGAAGTACGTGAAAAATCACTTGACTGACATCAACACTTGGTCTTTGTTTAAAGCATTATTCTCTACCTCCTTTACTGAAAGAATAGACTCTTGGGTAACTCCTGATCTATGACCATTAATATGAAAAAAAGTTAGAATAGTCCTGTTAATAAGTTGTACTTTAAGATACCATTTATTAGGCAAAGTGGAAAGTCAGATCTCTATCAAAGAACTTTAGAGACAGAAATAATGTATGTAAAATATCCTGGCATATAGTAGATACTCAACCAATGGTTTGGGGAAGTTTGGGCAAATTCTGGCACGTGGAGAACAATACACATGATTGACCAACCACTCACCTTAATGTATGAACTTAACTACAACTTTTGACAAATTAAGTATTAGAGAATATTTTTAATTGATATAAAGTAGACATCTTTTTCTTAACCAAGCATAAAGAAAGAGATGTAAAAACTAAGGCTCACTGGAAGTCAATAACATTGATGCATTATATTCTGAGCAAAATACATAATATATTCTATTTGGAAATCATTTCTGACTTTCTTTCATCTGTGCTATAGTTACCAATGGAGGTTAGTTGCCCCTTTAAATCACATCATTCGCCTTGACATTGTCAACTTCCAGATGAAGCCAACATCTTTGACCTGTTCCTGTGGGTTTATGAGGATTTGGACCAGGCAAAAAATGAATAGGTAACGAATCCTATGAAGAACTATGACATTGATTTTCTTCTATGAAATATTTTAGGTTGTTTCATATTCAGTATGTGGCTTACATGGGATGTGAACTTGTCTTTCCTTATGTATTGTTGAAATATCCTTACTGTTACTATTTTCTTAGATTTAAAGTTGAGATATAACATCCTCTCATATTTAGGTGAAAATAAAATCCAATTATGTTTCTTAAATGGATCACACCTAGATTAAATTTCCCCAGAATAACTAAAAATAAAAGATGAATGAAGCATTTTTAGACAAATATACACACAAGAAAATTAAGGCTATAATATTAATTTATATTTAAAATATATATACTTTTATGTAAAGTAATCATAGGAAAAGGCAATAAATGGGTCCTTCACAGGGAGACAAAGGCCAGCAAAAAGCAAAACATTTTCTTTGGGCTATCCCCTTATTCCCTTTGGGCTAGTCCCTTTCCAATTATTACCTAACCTTATCAGTTAGGTAACAGTTAGAAATCTGGTTATCGTGACTTAAACGTATAATTCTCAAAGAGAAATCCAGAGGTATGCTGATACATCACTAGTTCAACAGTTCAACTCTGCCAGCATTAAAGTTACTGGGATTTTTTTTTTTTTTTTAGCCTTTTCCTAATGGTTACATAATGGTGATTTCAGTTCTCATCATTGCATTGAAGGAAGGGGGCAGAGAGAAGGATTATCTCTATCAATAAAGTAAACATGTTTTCAAGACTCTTGTAGCAGATTTAAATGTTTTTGGCCAGAATTGTTCTATTGCTGCACCTGACTGGAAGATGACTAAAGAGAAGAGAAATGGGAAAGGGTTCTTTGGGTGGTCAATCAACACTTCTGAGCATGATGGGGGATACAGCAGTTCAGTTCTACCACATACTAGTTCAGGGACTTTGGGGATGATCCCAAAGCTTTCTTAAGCCTCAATTTTCTCATTTGTGAGAAGAGAACCCACCATCATGCACACATACATTGTACTATAAATCTCCAATTTGCTTAATCGAGGATACATATATGTAGTGAAATAAGGGAATAGCCCAAAGAAAGAGAACGTTTTAGCTGGGCTCGGTGGCTCAGCCTGTAATCCCGAGCTTTGGGAGGCTGAGGTGAGTGAATTGCCTGAGCCCGTGGGTTCGAGACCTCATCTCTACAATAAATCAAAAAAATTAGCCGGGCGTGGTAGCATGCGCCTGTAGTTTCAGCTACTTGGAATGCTGAGGCGGAAGGATCACCAGAGCCCAGCAGGTCGAGGCTGCGGTGGCTGGGAGCAGCCACTGCACTCCAGTCTGGGCGACAGAGTGAGACTCCAACTCAAAAAAAAAATAAAATAAAAAGAGAATGTTTTGCTTTTTGCTGACCTTTGCCTCCCTGTGAAGGACCAATGTTACTCTCCACTCAAGTAGGGTCCTATCAGAGTTAATAAAAACAACCAATTGCTAAGCCACTGTCTTTCTTATTCTTCAAATTTATATTACCATCCCAGAAGTAAGTACACTAACAATCTTTGTTTCCACTTAGAGGAGTGTTAATAGACACTGATATTTCTTGATTCCTGAGCCAATTTAGCATCAACAAGGCCATTGCTTCTTGTGGGCAGAATGCAGGATCTTGAAAATTATGTATGCTTCTATCTTTCTTGCCTTACAGAACACGAATTACCTTCCACTGCCTCATGAGGTTGTTTGAGAATTAAATAAGAGACAGCATGTTAATCAACATGTAAGAAGCCAAGCATCTGTTGTGTTTGGATTAGAAATATTTATTCTGATTCCTGTTCTCAAAATTGTGCTGTCTGGAGGAAAAGGTTAGGTTCTTTTCCTGTTGCCTTTTCTATGGGTGTCAGAGTACACAAAGTTTGGAACAACAAAGAAAGAAGAGGATGAAAAAGAAAGAATACATTGGCAATGCCAGTTATATCTTAAAATGATAATGAACTGTATATCTGTTCTTCCTTACTTAGAATTAGTTTATAAAATATGAAATAATTCCTATTTTTTCCCAAAAAGTTTTATGACTCTATTTCAATTTCTCTAAATAGGTTTGCAGACTCTGAGGTATATAGGGGGAAACGTTACTGTCCCTCTACCCATCTATGATATTGCCTTATAATAAGAAATACATGTATTTGGTCTTCATTTCTGACCAGAGTTCCCAAAATTCTAGTAATAGCCTAAGTGATAAGAATGATAAAGGTGAAAGAAGTATCTTTTATATTCTGAATAAGCTCCTTTCAACCACACTTGTGTTTATGTTTATGAGGTGACTTTTGGAAAGCCTCTAAAGATGGAGGGCTAGTTTCCAAAGGAATGATCCTGTGATTAGAGGGTTGGAACTTATAGCCTAACCTCTGGGGAGAGGAAACGGACTGGAAATTGACTTAAAAACTAATTGTTAATAAAGTGATCAGTCACGTATATGTAATAAAACTCTACAAAAACTCAAATTTTAACAGGGTTCAGAGAGCTTCTGGGTTGGTGAACGCATGGTGGGTGCTGGGAGAGCGGTATACCCTGAGAGGATATTGAAGCTCTGTGCCTCTCCCTATCTTGCTCCATGCATCTCTTTCATTGACTGTTTCTGAGTTGTATCATTTGTAATAAATTGGGCAAATATAAGTGAAGTGTTTCCCTGAATTCTGTGAGGTATTTTAGTAAATTATCAAACCTGAGGAGTGACTCATGGGAACTTCTGATTTATGGCTGGTCAGTCAGTAGCACATGTGACAGCCTGGACTAGCAATTGGTGACTGAATGGGGACTGGAGACAGTCTGTGAGACGGAGCTCTTGACCTTCATGGTCTGTGCTAACCATGGATAGATAGTGTCAGAGTTGGACTGAGTTGGAGGATACCCAGTTGTCGGGGAGAAAAACCACATGTCTGTTGTGTCTGTTGTCAGAAGTGAAGTACTGAGAGTAGCAGCAGTAATGGAGATGTAGAGAAGTTGCTTTTTTATCCTCTCAAACTGTCTTAGCCTCATTAGCTGGAACCCTTCAAATTATGACAAAAGACTGATTAAAAAGAGAAAAACAAAAGTTTATTGACACTTGTATCATTTGTGTCCTTGAGAATATTCAGTGGTGAGTAACTCAATGAGGTTATTAGAATTTGGGCTTGTGTAACACTGTAACAAAAGAACAATAAGTCTGTAGAGAAGTAATGAGAATAAAAGAAAAGGACTCAATATTTTTTGTGCAGATTTCTTTGGTGCCATCTCTGGGCTGATAAGAGTCTAGAGTTGTCTTGGTGATTAAGAATCGTCCTTCCTTTCCTAGTAGAGAAGAGAAGGACAAAGAGTATTTTTTTGTGTAGTTTTTTTTTTTTTTGTCTTTAGCTTAAAATAATTCTTTTGCCAGAGTGGCATGCTTTGTGCTACCTTAGGGAGTTAAGCCAGTGGCTGAGTTCAACAAATTATTTAGTGAATATTTAACAGAACTAAGTAGGATTTATTCCAAGAACACAAGGATAGCTTAATATCAAATTGTATTACATATTATTATTTTCCAATGTAAATTAGAAAAAAAGATACAAATTGAACATACAGCAGTAGTAATCTTAGAACCATAGCAGTAAAAACTATAAGATATAATAAAAATTATTTCAATTACAGCTAGCAACAAAAGCCATTTAATAACTAGAAATAACCCTAAAATGAAATGAAATTTGTTCAAACTATAAAACTTTATTGAGGCATGTGCACATGCATACAAACACATGCACATGCGCGCGCGCGCACACACACACACACACACACACACACACACACACACACACACAGATTTGAATAGATAAAAGTGCCATGTCCCAAAATGAAAAGACATAATATCAAATTAATTCAACCTACATTAATTTACAAATATAATGTATTTTCTAACAAAATCCCAATGGGATTTTTTTCTGGCGGGATAAGAAGGAAATGGATACTAACTCTAAAATTTATACTACAAAATAAATAGGGATAACTGAAAATGTTTTAGGAAATGAATGACCAGACAGTAAGGTAGAATTGCTCTATCTAATATTAAAGCATACTTTAAAACAATAAAGTAGTATAAGAAAAAATAGGTGAGTGGAAATAGACTAGAAAGGACCTTAGAAAACTTAAGACCACTGTATGTGATATATTTGGCATTACCACTCAGAGAGAAAATACATAAAATTATATTCATCACATCTCACAACAGCTGATTAAAGAGTTAAATATTTTTCCTAAGCCATAAAAGTGAAAAAAATGGCAATTAGCTGTGTGGAGAAGGACATTTTCATTAAAAAAAAAAATTATCAATAGGTTCCTATATAATTAGAAACTTTCACATCAACAGCAATAAAACTAAAAAGTAAATGAACAAACTTGAGATTTTCAACAATTCTGAGAAAAATGTAAAGGAATTAATATATGAAGTATTCACAAATCAATATTAGAAAAGCTAAAAACTGAATTTATAGACCCAGGGTATCTTTGATTTAGACTTGATTAAATTTAAAGTTAAACCAGAGACCTTCAAGCTTTTTGTTTTCTACTTATTTTTCAAGAGAATGACAGACTTATTCACCCAAATGCTTTTGAGAGCACAAAACACAGGATTAGCCTCTTTTGGTAGATAAGAAAAGTTAGTGAATATTTACATACCAGTTACTACACAATCTAAATTAAATCTCTTGTTTCTTGTCACAATGACATTGATCCTCTGGCCATCAGTTTAATTAAAAAGGGCAGAGTTTCCCTGTAATAGTGGAAAGCCTAACAGTTCCTAAGATTTGTGATCTGAAACCTTGAAACTATGAACGTTGTAGCAAACTATATGTTAGAATGTTTGCTTCAGAAAATATTGTGGAATCATCTTGGAGGGAGCCTCGTGTTTTCGCTTCAGTCACTGTTGCCCTGTGACCTGCAGGTCCCTGGAGTCTGCAGGATGGGAGATGATGAGTGTGACTTGATTAGATAATCTCTCCTGAGAAGAAATCCCAGAGAAGTAGGAGGAAAAGAAAAAATGACTGGTTCTCAGGGGCTGTTAATATTCAAGGATGTGGGCATAAAATTCTTTCAGGAGTGGGTATTCCTGGACCCCACTCAGCAGATATTGTACAGGAACGTGATGTTAGAGAACCACAGAAACCTGGTTTTTCTAGGACATGCTGTCTCTAAGCCAGACCTGATCACCTGTCTGGAGCAAAGGAAAGAGCCCTGGGAAATGAAGAAACACAACGCATCAGGATTTGGTGGATATAAGACTACGCATACTGGAGAGAAACCCTACAAATGTGCAGAATGTGGCAAAGCCTTTCCTCGGTACTCAAATGTTATTTGAACATCAGAGAATCCATATTGGAGAGAAACCCTACAAATGTGAAGAATGTGTCAAAGCCTTTACTCAGTGCTCAAATATTATTGAACACCAGAAAATCCATACTAGAGAGAAACGCTACAAATGTGAAGAATGTGGCAAAGCCTTTACTCAGTAATCAAGGGTTATTGAACATCAGAGAATCCATACTGGAAAGAAAACTTACAAATGTGAAGAATGTGGTTAAGCCTTTCACTCTCATGAAGTATTTACTGGACATAAGACCATCCATACTGGAGAGAAATCCGACAAATGTGCAGAATGTGGCAAGGCCTTTAGTCAGAACACAAGGGTTATTGAACATCAGAGAATCCATACTGGAGAGAAAACCTGCAAATGTGAAGAATGTGGCAAAGCCTTTTGCTTGCATAAAGGATTTACTAGACATAAGACGATCCATACTGGAGAAAAATGATACAAATGTACAGAATTTAGCAAAGCCTTTTCCTTTTACACAGAAGTTGTGAACCATGTGAATATCCATACTGGAGAGAAACCCTACAATTGTGATGCACGTGGCAAAGCCTTTAGCTCTCACAAAGTACTTGCTGGATACATGGTCATCCATACTGGAGAAAAATCCTACAAATGTATAGAATGTGACAAACCCTTTCACTGGTACTCAAGTTTTATTGAACACCAGAGAATCCATCCTGGAGAGAAACCTTAATAATGTGAAGAATGTGGCAAATCCTTTCGCTCTCATAAAGGATTTTCTGGACATAAGACCATCCATACTGGGGAGAAACCCTAAATTGTGAAGAATGTGGCAAAACCTTTCATTCTCACAAAAAAATCTGCAGGACACATGACCCTCCATACTGGAGAGAAACCCTACAAATGTGAAATGTGTGGCAAGTCTTTCACTGCCATTCACTACATGTGATATGTCAAGATCCATACTGTTGAGAAACCCTTACAATTGTGAGAAGTGTTGCAAAGCTTTCCACTGTCATAAAGGATTTGCTGGATATAAGATCATCCATACTGGAGAGAAACCCTACAAGTGTGAAGAGTATGGCAGTCTTTTGCTCTCATAAAGGATTTGCTATACATAGGAGGATCCATACTGGACAGAATCCGCAAAAACATGAAGAATGTGGCACAACCTTTTGTTCTCATAAAGTATTTGCTGAATGTAAGACCATCCATACTGGAGGGAAAATCCTACAAATGTGAAGAATGTGGCAAAGCCTTTCACTCTCCCAATGGACTTGCTGGACATATGATCATTCACACCGGAGAGAAACTGTACAAATGTGAAAAATGTGGTAAAGTCTTTTGCTCTCATATACGACTTGCTGTACATGTGAGAATCCATACTAAGGAGAAACTATATAAATGAGAGGAATGTGATAAAGCATTTACCTTTCATTCAATACTTGGTTGACATAGGAGCATCTATATTTAGGGAAGAATGGAGTAAAGCTTTTCACTGTTATTCCAAGTTTTCTCAATATTAGAGAATTTATACTGTAAATTTTCAGTATCTGTAATGACTGGAAAATCATATATTGAGATACAAACTAGAGAGACACGGTGAAAAATTTACAGGTTTAAAGAGTAACATTATCTTTACTTAAACCATAGATCTTTTGAATGTACAAGTGTAGAAAATGTCTAAAGCCTTTAACCAGCAAAAACTTTATTTGACATTATACTGTGCATTGGAGACACTCTACAAATTTAAAGAATGTGGACTGGCCTTTGTTCAAAATATATGCCATTGGAAACACTAGGGCATTCAGACTGAAAACTTTACAGATGCAATGTATATGGAAACATATTTACTAAAAAGTCAAGTTGAAATAAACATCGAATATTGAATGGCATTAGAAGGAGGTTATTTTTATTTATTTAGGAAAGCATAAGTATATTCTTTGTATACTCTTGTTTTTGCATTGACAGAATATGAGGATGTTTTGAAAAGCAAACAGTATTTATGTGATTCAACTCACTTGATACTATGCCTTCATTCCTATCGTGTATGTGAAAGCATGGGGTCAGTTGTTGCTACTTTAGAGGAACAATAGGCTCTTGTATAGTAGGTGACCAGCAGTCATCTGGTGCTTTCATGGAGGGTGAAGAACATTGATATGTAATCTGCTTTAAATGATCTAAGTAAATAGGTTTTTTGTGGTTCACATTGAGAATTATTGTAAGTTCTGCATGAGGTGAGTACTCAGGATAACATATTTTTCCATTGGAATAAATGACAAAGAATCATTGAGAGTTTTAGAAATCATTTGTCTTACTACTCTACATGCTAATGAGAAAATGAGGCCAGACCATTAATATCTTGATGCATCTTCATAATATCAATACTTAGAAGTCATAATTTAATTTGATATGGTATAAATAAGAGATATTTTCATAGACACTAGAGCAAAAAAATTAATTTCTTAAAATGTATGTAATGTAAGTTTATGATTAGTCAATAACCAGATTCTGTTTTGAAAACTGAAGAAAGTCGTTCACACATATATCCCACTATCAGAAGAACAAATTCCTTAATGTTTGTGATCTGTTTTTGCTAGTGAGCAAACAGTGAAATTTTGAATGTTTATTTAGGCTATGTAAATTAGTTTGTTTTAAGGAACAGAATTGGGTGTAAAGTATTAATATTTGTTGTCTACCCAATAAATTGTTATATTGCCTTAAGTGTTAAATCTATTCTATCTTACTCAAGATTGTAGGTAAATGATGACGATATACTATTGAGTAACTTATGGAATGATGTCTCTAGTGATCCTTTTTTCATAGCTTATGTTTTCTTTCTTTTTGTTACGAGTCATTTTGATTATTGTAATAAAGATTATACTGGAGTAAAAAAAAAAGAAAAAGAAAATATTATGTACGACCAGTTAAACTTAGAAATGATTTGTCATAGGAAGTAGATTTTAATGATCAACCTTATGATAATTAACACTTTCCGATCCTAATCTACCTCTAATCAACTCAAGTATAAAACACTGAGGATTCTTTTAGAATTAGAGGATTCCTAATAATAAGAGTCTGACTAATTTCAAAATACAACTCAGAATCGCTATTTTCCATGACATATCCTAATTTTAAAAATGACTTAAGGAAGTAATTTATAAATAAGTAAATCAAATACATGTGAAAAAAACCCAAAACACATTTAGCCTCTTTAAAATAAACGAGAAAAATATTTTGCCTGGTAAGCTGACAAAGATTTTGAAGAATGATTATCCTAATCAAATAAAACATAATATAGCATTGCATTTTCATCTCACTGGGGTATAATATGGAGTATACTTTCTGGAGAAATATTTTTCAAAACTCTACATTCATAATGTTTTATCAGGTTCTCTACTTCTGACTATACTTATTAAAAATATACTTTTTATATGTCAAATATGCTATATACTATATGTTCATTCAGCATTATTTATAGTGGCCAAAAATGAAAATCTAAATGGGAAAATGATTAAGAAATGCAAGGTATATTCATAATATAAAATGTTATGCAGCCATTAAATAAAATATTTTCACATACTTTTAAAAATAAATAAATGTAAGGCTGATTGAGAAAATCAGAATGAAGAGCTATATAGTGTAATTTAAATTTTTTAAAAAAGTGAATAGGGGCTCCCAGCACTTTGGGTAGGGCAAGATGAGAGGATTTCTTAAGTCCAGTAGTTCAAAACTGACCTGGGTAACATAGTGAGACCTCATCTCTACAAAGAATTAGCTGGGCATAGTAGCATGTACCTGTAGTCCCAGCAACTCAGGAAACTGAGGTGGAAGGATTGCCTGAGCCCAGGAGGTTATGACCAGGCTGCTGTGAGCCATGATTGTGTCACTGACTATACTCCAGCCTAGGTGAAACCCTGACTCAAAATAAAATAAAATAAAATAAAGGTTTACAAGATTATGGGTAATTTTTTGGAAATTCTCCAAATATTCCTCAATGAATGAATAAACATTTCTAATCTTAAGGCTATAAGAGACAAAAGAAGAGGGGAAAGAAAATGTTTCATTCTAGAAGCTGAACTGGATTCACAGAGGAGCAGTTACAGGGAACTTCATCACAATATTCAGATATTTAGCAGTCTACCTCACAAGAGAGGGAACCAGTTGAGATTACATCATCTTCTAAAGGGTGCTTTAGAAATCTTGGGGTCGTGAGAGGTTGAACAAAATCAATACTAATGTCCATTTTAGCCCTAGGATTCTAAGTCACAGGAGACCTCTGAGAACTTTTTTTTTTTTTTTAGGAGACAATTTCTCAGTATGTTGTTCAGGCTAGAGTTCCGTGGCTGTTCACAGGCACAGTCACAGCTTTGAACTCCTGAGCTCAAGCAGTCCTGTGCTTTGGCCTCTTGAGTAGGGACTACAGGCTTGAACCACTGTACCAGGTTGGCACAGACTTTGTTCTTGATAAAGCTACCAATGACTTCCACAAGCCCAGATCCAGTAGTCCCTTCTCATCCTTGACAGAAGCATTTTAGATGAGCTCTCCTTCCTTCTTAAATCTCACTTGTTTCAACCTCCAGGAAACTACTCTTCCTTGGCTGTCCTCAGACCTCAGTCTCTTGGCTTGTTGTTACTCATTTTCTCTACCACTAAAGGTTGGGGTATCCCAGGACTCAGTCATTGGCTCTTCTTTCTTCTTTACCTATCCTCACCCCTAAGTGATCTCACCCAGTCCCTAGCTTTAAATACCATCTATACACAGATAAGTTTCAAGTTTATATCTCTAGTCCCAACTTCTTTATTGAACACTACCTGTATGTCCAAGTGTCTCCCTTTCCACCTGTATATCTAGTAAGCCTCTCAAACTTAAGAAGACCAAAATTGAACTCTTGATTTCCTACCTCTGCCTTCAAACTCTTCTTCCTCCAATATTCCCCATCTCAGTAGATGACAACTCCATCTTACTAATTAATTGCTCAAGCCATTAAACTTGACCATCCTTGACTACTCATACTCTGCATCAAGTATAATTAATCTGTGAATCTTACAGCAAAATAAATCTAGAGTCCAACTACTTCTCAACAATAATATTCTGGAACAAGCCTTCCTTTAGTCTGTTTTACTCATAAAAGCCTCTCTTCTGCTTATCAATGTTTTCCCAATTCATTCATAGTAAAAGCCCTTACTTTACTTACAATATGCTATATGATCTGGTTCTTGACCACCTCCTTCATGTCTTCTTCTGTCATTTTTCCCAGTGCTCGTGTCATATTAGCCATGAAAACCCTAATTATGCTCCTCAGTCACACTAAGCCTGCTGTATACCTGAAACCTATAACCATGCCTGGTAAATAATCAGTGCTCAAGAATTATGTATTTGAATAAAGAAATGGCATTTCAGCTAAAGTAGATTAGGGGTGGAGAATAAGGAGGTAGCTCCTTAGCGGATGAATGGGTAAGAAATGCCTCTCTTTTGCTTATGGTAATCCCCTTGCCTGAGAGTTAATGTATGAAATAACTCAAGAAAGAGACTCTTATTGTACACACTCAATTCTTTTTTTCAGGTAAACATAGAAAACCTTCAGTGCAGACATTTTTCTAATGATGTGTGAATTATAATAGATTTATACCCTGTGTGTGTGTATTAAAGATCTGACTCATTTATGTTCTTAAGATTGAGGATTAAGATGTGCCGCTAGAAATGATGGAATATTCATATAACCAAAAATATAAGCCATTAAAATTTATATGGAATGTTTAGTAGCATGAAAAAATATTCATAATAAATTAAGTCCCATCTACTTGGAAGGATGAGGTAGGAGGATCTCTTGAGCCCAGGAGTTCGAGGCTGCAGTGAACTAAGATCATGCCACTGTACTCCAGCCTGGGCAAGAGTGAGATCCTGTCAAAAAAAAAAAAAAGAAAGAAAGAAAAGAAGAAAGTAAGAAAGAAAAAGAGTAAGCTCTTTGATTATTGTGTTAAATATTTTTTCACTTTGCCTCAAGGGTGTCCAGTGTTAAATTCGATTCTAGTTAGTTCTGTTGAAATTATGTCTTCCAGTTATCCTTTTATCCCAACGTGCTGAATTGCACTTGGACTTTGTATTCCATGTAGGAAAATAATCAAGGCAGTAATTAAAGACTTTATAACACAGGACTCTTGGAACTGTAAATAGGATTACCTCATTATTTATGATGAACTGGATCAGCAATCAAGATTACTTGATAAATTAATCTTTCTAAATGGTCTCCATTAAGTGGCACTAAGTAATTATATAATGCATATGGAAAACATGACTTACATTGGCCTTGAGAACAATAACATTCATTGT